ACTTACCTCCTTGCATGCTCCACCCCAAACCTCAAGCCCACTCATAAAATTGGCTTTAGTTCTAGTCTATACTAGTATACATCCCAGATGATCATGGTGGATTTTTACACTAGAGTTCAGCCCCTCAAAGTGCGCCCCCCCCCGCCCCCCGCTTTCCTCTGGGCACCATGAGCCGGAATGAGAGCCTCAGGAGCCAGAGGCCCTGCAACAGCACCGGCCCCCTCACCTCACTTTCTAACAAGGATAGGGGCTCCCCAGGGACCATCCAGGTTCCCTGGCTGCCGGGGCAGGGCCATGAGCATCAGGGTGCTGCCCCCACCCCACGAAGTCTCAGCCAGGAGGTTCGCGTGACCGGCTGAAACTTTGAGTGTTTCCTCCTGAGTGTGTTGGGTCCTACGCTGCCTCTGTGTGACATCCCACTCAGTTCTCACAACCTCCCAGACAGGATCCCATGAGGGCATCTCCCCGGGTCGCAGAGGAAGGTGCGCGGTGGCCTGTGGGGCTCGCACCTCAGCAGAGCTGGGCTTGCACACAGTGCGGAGGGCGGCGGGCAGCCGGGCTGGGGCCCTTCCAGGTCACTGATAAGAAAAACCACCCTTTCAGTCTGGCAGCCTCAACCAAGACGGGTGGGGGGCGGTGCAAAAGTAGGTTTATAGCTGTGAGTACTCGATACATAATACATTCTCGTATGATTATTCATTCGTTATTGTATGTTTTTCCGTAAGAACTGCAAACCCATCTTGCCCCGTCCGTGTTCACAGCCACATCGCCACAATGGGGCCTCCCGACAGTCCAGCCACGTGGGCTGGGCAGCCACAGCCTTTCCCACTTCAGGGAAGAAACCAAGTTCCCGAGAAGGATGGCCCTGTCCAAGGTGCCGCCAGCCTCCCAAGGACGGGCTGGGAGAGGGCATGGGGGTGGGTGGTGGAGAGGCGCCGTTCCTTCCAGCTCCCACTCTGACTTGCCCCTGGGCCGAGCAAACCATGAGCAGGGCCCACACCTGCCCAGTCAGGGCCCTTAAATGCCTCTCCTTCTTGCTTTGATTCCTCTGCCCGGAGAAGAACCCTGTGCGGTCTGTGCCCTAGCTCCGGAGTGGGGAGAAAAGGTCTTGGGGTATATATAGTAAGACCTGCCCCCGGAGGAACCTCCCTCTTGGATCCTACTCTGCCTCAGCATCCCTCTCTTGCTGCCCCAGCGACACAGAACTAATAAATCTGGGGACGCGAGCTCTATACTGCAGGGGGCCAGGCTGGCTCCTTGCACATCCCAAGTACAACCTGTCCCAAGTACAACAAATGCCCGCCATAGGCTGCCAGGATGAAATTGGAAAGTGAGTGTGGATGATTTATACGGGACTTCTCCGCTAACCAAACAGCAGCCCAGTGGGGTAGGTGGCAACTCAGGAGGAAGAGAGGTCGTTGAGTCCCATCTGCCTCATAAGAGCAGGACTCCACCGCCCTGCCCAGCACATCCCCTCACCACATTCCAGCCACGGGGCCTTTGCACGTGCTATTCCCTCTTTCTCCAATGTGCTTCCCTCCCGCGGCCTCCTGTTCATGCCTGCTCAATTGCCATTCCTCAGGGAAGCCTTCCCTGACCCCAGTCAACGTCAGGTGCCCTGTAGATATTCATAGCTCCCTGATCTGACCATCATAGCAAGTGACACTTAACATAAAAAAAGTTTTTTAGTATGAGCATCAGGCTTTCTTGGAAACTGCAAACTTCACGAGGGCAAGACTCACATCACCATTGTGTCCTCAGGTCATGTGCCCGAGGCATTCAAACATTTTTTTAAAACAAATGAAAGGTTTGATTGCTCTCCTACTGTCCAATGGCACCCACAAACCCTGCTAGGCCCCAGGTACCAATTGGTGCCCCAAGACCAGCAAAATCCCAGGAAGACGCCTCATGGTCTTCCCACCCGACTCCTGTTGTCAGGCCAGAAGGCAGGACTGGAAGGTGGGGATCAGAGCAGCCTTGGGGTATCAGGGGGAACAGACCATCCAGCTTAGAGGATGGGAGCCACCACCACCACACAGGAGCCTGCATGCACACAGATGTGTGGACCCTATGCACACCCCCCCGAGTGCATGTAGTTGCACATACAGGTACATGCCCAGACACAAGGGCATGCCTGTGCACACACAGCTTCCACAAACATACTTCACATGCCCACCCCCACCCATGTGGGTATCCGGGCCTTCGCACATCTCTCCCCTGTGTGGTCACCCGTCAGAGGACCAGCGCCCACTGACATCAGAGGTCCTGCATCCCTCCTTCCAGGAGGCCTTTCCTAATGAAGGCAGTTCCGGCTGCCTCGGGATTCCTGCTTCCAGGGAGTGGGGAGGTGAGGAAGTCCAGCCCTTCCACCCCAGCTGGGACGCCCAGGCCGGAGTGACAGCCCCCTCATAGTCTGGCTCCCTGAGCCACTATGAAACTAGGCAATGAGCCCCACTATAGGCAATGACCCACAGAAACAGGCCGTGCCGGGGAGCCCCCTCGCAGCAGGCTCTGCCCAGCCTTTAGTGCAAATTAAAACATTTCCCTTTTCTTCATAATTTTTTCCTGACACAACTGCCCATGAAACATTTTAATAACATCCCAGTAAAGGTCAAGGAGAAGGGATTTCACAGTCCCTGAGCAGCCACTGCAACTCCAGCCCCTCCCACAGCAAAGGAGGTGGGGCGGTGGGACTGACCCAGGGGCTGAGCAGAGAATGGCAGGGTGGGGGAGGGGAGAGCAGGGTGGTGGGTGTGCATGGTGTGGCCACAAAACTTGCTGCTGCCAGGAGCTCTGGAAGCACCTGGGGAGCTGAGGGGATGATGGTGGGGTTACCCAGGCGATGTTTTCACATCTCGACAGCAGCTTTGGAGGTGGTGGTGTCTTGTGCCCATTTTGCATATGAGGAAATAGACGCTTAGCGGTGACCTGGATAGACCTGCGCGCAGCAAAGGCAGGGAGACGGGGTCCAAACACTGTTCGCTTTCAGTCCTGAGCCCCCCTTTAGGTGCACAGCCCTGGGGCTAGAGCTTATCATTGGGCAGGACTGCTCTCTTGTGTCTGCACAATTCAACAAACGCTGGGCTGGAGGCTGAGAAGGAGGGGCCCGATGAGCCAGCCCTGAGCAGAGACCCTCAGGCAGCCTTAGAGTGCAACTCATCCGTGACACATGCCCAGGGGCCTGGAGAGGAACTGGAGAAGGGGTCCTGACACCCAGCAGGGGTCCACGCAGGCTCAGAAGTTGCTCCAGTGCTTGAGGAAACCCAGTGTGAGGACCTACTCTCCAGGGCCCGCCCCGGGTGGGGTCGGCCTGACACATCGTCCTTGGCACCAGTAGTTGGTCACCAGCCAAGTGCGCCTTCCCACACACCCCACCCCTGCTCCCTGGGCCCCCTCAACCCTTCTCCAGGGCTACAGTTAACTTGGGACTGCAAAGTGGAGACCCCATGTCCCCAGCAAGAATACCAGGAAGAAATCTCCAGCCCCCTTCAAGCTTGGAGCTAAAACTTAAATTCTTTGCCACGTGGTCCCAGGCCTATGGGGGTGGGGCCCTCCTCCCTGTGAGATCCTCGCAGCACAGACTGCTTGGGTGTCCTTCATCCTGACATTCAAAGGTGGCTGGAGGGCTGAAGATACTTTCTTTGCGTACAGAAGGCCCAGCCTCTCGGGGCTGCAGGAGGGTCCGTGGGGCCTCCGGCACCAGGTGACTGATTGCAAGGAGCACCTTGCGAAAGCCGGCGAAGCCAGGGGGTGGGGAAGCAGGGGGAAGCACGCAGCCACAGCAGACTTATTGTTTACGTGACGGCCTGCCTAGCTAAACATCTGTTTGAAGTATTAATAACTGTCAGATGGAAAGGGCCTAGGGGCTCAGTACAGTTTCATACCATCTGTCTGTAGAGTAAACACACTTTGGAGTAGGGGGCCTGGGATCAGCAGGCAACGTCTCTGTTTGCCATGAGGATGGAGCAGGAAAGAGGAGCGAGGACGCTGGGGGCCTCAGAGCGGGCAGGGTGGGGCAGCAGTGAGTGGGACTCCACAACGTTTACTGAGCACCTACTATGGGCAAGACCCTGAGCGTGTGGGACACACAGCTACCACTGTGATCTGCTCAGCAACCAATCCTCTTTCTTCCTATAACGGAGCATCCTCTGAAATAGCCCCTCCCTGTTTCCAGCCCACGCCCCGTCATTTGGATGCGCCGACCCCAACCCTGGGCTCCACAATGGCGAGTGGGACCCATCTCTGGTACGTCTAGGATGTCCATTCGAATCACGATGACTCTCTCCAGGACGGCCCCACAGGCTGGGTCACTGGACACCAGCTCTGGGACTTGTGCTGGAACTACTGAACTACTGAAACATAAAAGCTCCCCAGGAGGGTTGGTCAGTTGGTAAGAAGTAAGCCTAGAGTGCCCGTGTCCCTCTCTGCCAGCAGGAAAACACACAGCCTGGCGCTGAGGTCAGATTCCTGCTCAGCCGAGTGCCAGGACGCAGCCCGGCCTGAAATCGCTTCTACTTTTGAGTTACATGAGCCGATCCTTTTTCTGCTTGACACACATTTATGTCTCTTGAAACTGAAAGTACTGACTGATACACATGGACACTGGGAGGGGCCCTTATCAAAGTCTAAACCGAGGGCAGCTGGGGGTGCCAAGTGCCCTGGAGCAGCCCATTCTTCCCGGGAGCCTGTGCTCAGAGACACTGGCACCTCTTCCCATTAGAGGACCTTCCAGGGCTCCTGGCCCGCCAGGTGCCGTCCCTCTCACAGACAAGGCAGAAACCAGATCTCTGCGACCCCATCTTGTCGTCCCTCAGGCTGGCCCCTTCTCCACATGGCATGCAGGCCAAGGGAGCCCCATCCAGAGAGTCCAGATGCTTTCACACATCAACGCCCACCCCCCTGACAGCCTGGGCACCCGCTTCCTTGACTGCCCAGACTCCCTCTGGCTGCTCCCCATGGTTGACCCCAGTGCTCAGAGGCCCTGGAGGAGTGGGACTCACCAGCACTGTCAGCACCGAGGTCCCCACGGTGACGTTCTCGTACAGGCTGACGTTGTACAGCGGCTGGCTGAAGATGGGCCGGTTGTCATTCTCGTTGATGAGGGCGATCTTCACCTTGGCATAGCCCACGTGGTCGGGCACACTCTCATTGGCAAAGAGCTGCGTGCGCAGAGCAAGGCCCTGGTGAGCTCCCCTGTGCTTCCGGAGCCTTCGTCCCCGTAAGTCCCCCTGGGGCCTTTGCTGGTCCCAACCCGACCACCTGTCAGAGTCACTGCCCATCCCAGGAGTGGGTACTGGGAGTCCCCCCATCAGTGGTCACAGGCTAGAGTGTCCTCTGATTCTGCTGGGAGGGAGCGGCTGATGGGGGCTGGGCTGGCAGGGTCTGGACAGGAGAGCTCCTGATGGGTTCCTGAGGCGTTGACGGTGCCTGAGCAACTTCCATTCAATTCCTGGGCGTTTCCTTATCCTTGACAAGGGAAGGCTCAGCCCAGCCCCTGCCACAGCTCAGTGAGCAGATCCATGGGGCAGGGTGAGGAGAGGTGGAATTTAAGGGGATGGTGTCAACCTCCCACCCCCACGTCACCTGCAATCCCCCCACCCGGCCAGGAAGATAGTGAAAGGGGCCTTACGTCGAAGTCGTAGCGCTCCACGGTCTCGTAGTCCAGGGGGATGGCCACCCGGATGCGAATGTCCGCCTTCCCTTGGACGGAGGTGGGGGAGATGATGAAGTGGTGGGAGTTGTTCCCCACCAGGTACACCTCGAACATGCTGTTCAGGCCCTGGGGTTAAGAATGGAGGAGAAACAGTTCAGGCCCTGGGGTTAAGAATGAGGAGAAGCCAGTCCGAAGGCGCAGGAGGCCAAGGCCTGGAGCGTGCTGGAGGGGCAGAGCTGCTTTGGTGCGGGAGGTGGGTGAGGCAGGAATCCCCAGGCCCCCTCCTGGGACCCAGGCCTCCACTGAATGACCCTGGCCCAGCTCCCCGACCCCTTCCTGCCCTGTCTAGGCCCTTGGGAATCTCCTCCGGCCTTTCCCTTCATCACCCTGTTGGATGCCCACAACAACCCTTGTAGGTGGTTTGGTTCATTTCCATCTCCTGCTCCTTTTACCCTGCCCCAGTGACCCCAAGTGGAGAGGGACCTTCCAGCCGTGAGCCCCAGAGGGCAATGGAGGGACAGCCAGCGGGAGGGGAGAGAAGCAAGTGCCTAGGGTAGGCCTGGACAGGAGAGGGCACAAGAGACAGCAGGACCCTGCTTCTCCCATCCTCTCTTGGAACTGCTGATCAGGAGAACACTGGCTGGCTTACACGTGGAGCAGGAGTAAGTCCATAGGCTGAGTGGCAAAGTGGACCCCATGTGCCCCACACGGCGGCCAGCAGGACACTGGATCTCAGCCAGCCAGAGCTGCAGCACCCTTGGCAGGCCCCGCTAAGGCCCAGTTGCTTGGTTTCAGGTGTGGGGCGTGCGCCCTCTGGGTTAGGTGTTTCTGATCATCCTAACCAGGCTCGGGTTCACGGAGCCCTCCGATGCTGCGTGGCTCATCAGCACACAAAGTGTGTGACGTCTCCATGTGACCAGTCCCCAGATCAGGAGGGGGACCACCGCTGACGGTGGGAGACACAGCCCGAGTCTGGCCTGCTCCGAAAGGGATTCAACCTCTTCCACCTCCTGCGCAAAAGGGGGAGTTACCCCCAAACAACCCCTCCCCCCTTCAACCCAGGCAGGTGGCATGTGGTTTGTAACCAACTGGTCAGGAGCCTTTCCTGACCCAGGCTGCAGATGCCCAGCAGGTCCCCC